AGTAACTTATATTTTTCTAATATTCATAATAATATTTATAAGTAGATGTATATGCATTGAATAATTAAATTTAATTGAATATATATGCCATGTTATGTATAGATACTTTAAACACAAATAAAACAAATGTGTATGTAATCAACAATCAATATGATATATTACAATCTTAACTCGTATTATTTTGCAGGTTTCTGTTCATTTGATATTTCCACTAGATCATCCACCAACCTTGAGTCAGATTACTCAAATTCAAGGTGATTGTGCTGCATCTGATCTTCAAACAAGAGAAGTAGAAACAGAAAGGAAACAAGGACAGATGACTTATCCTATTAATGTAGCCAGAAATGTGGCTAGAATGCAAGCAAACACTACTCATATTTTAGTAACAGATATTGAATTATTACCCAGTGCAAAATTAGCTTCTGGTTTTATGGAAATTGTCCATGGAAGACCACAAAAAACTAGAATTGTCTTTGTAGTACCAGTATTTGAAATAGAATCAAATGAGCAGCCACCTTCAACAAAAAAGGAGTTACTCTTAGCAACAAAATCTGGAATGGCTATATATTTTCACAGGTTTGTGCAAATATAGAATCATACAAAAAAATGTTGTACACCTACATAGGAAAATTATTTTAATTTTATACATATTACAAGTATTATATTCTATAAATATTGCTGCAAATGATAAAGATGTTACATGATATCTTCATTTCACAGATTTCTTTGTTCACATTGTCAAAGATTTCCTGGTCTCACTAGATGGTTGATTAGATCTGATCCAGGTAAGGTCAGACCACTTATTATTACAAAAAGAGAATATCCACATCACAGATGGGAGCCTGTATTCATAGGAACCAAAAACGATCCTTTATATTCAGAAGAAATGTCTTGGGAAGGTAAACAAGACAAAATGAGTCAGGTATTATATGCATTTATCCATACATTTATAACAGTTAAAAGTACTCAAGATTATTTAAAATTTTGTAGATATTTTAATATTTACCATCACCAGTTTTTTCTCAACTTAGTAATTTTACAAATTTCTATTCAATGCCAAAACATTAAATATTTGATCCTTCTTTT